ATTAACTTTATTGTGGCTACATCCCCCTCTTAGAATCTAAATTACATCACTGCAAAAACTAATCTCCATTACTGTCATCTGCAATTCCATGAAGCTCTTGTCCAGTAATACACTGGTTATCATAAATTAAAGAAAAATCACAAAAAATAGCGATAACTCCCTAAAAAATAAGCCAAACCGTGTAAAATTTGAATATGTTGAAGTAAGAGTATCTGAGTAAAACTGCAATATGCAAATTAGTGGCGCTGCACTCGGAATACGTCATCTGCGAGGAGAATAAAAGTCCATGTTTGAGAGCAAGCTCACATATTTTATTGTGATAGTGACATTAGAAATCTGAGATAGCCAATTCGTAACAATGATCTCCAGGCATCATTTGCCTGTAGAACTATGATAGGAAGCCATTGGGAGACTAGAGGCAGGGCAAAGTCAAACAGAAGTGGCCAGATGGCTAAATGGAAATCCATCTGTGGTTCATAGACTTTGGAGGCAATTTCAAATCACAGATTCGGCACCTAGGATGTTCAGCCAAGGACGGCCAACTGCTACGACGAGCATCGATGACCGATATTTGACATTATGTGCACTTAGGAATAGAACCGCTGCTCCGACTCTTCTTAGATCCTCACTTGCTGCAGCCACCGGAAGGTTGGTGATAAGGTCAACTGTGTGTAGAAGGCTTCACGAAGGTGGTCTGTATGCGAGGCGAACAACCATTTGCGTGTTGCTCAAGTCACACCATAGCAGGGACCATTTGCAGTGGACACGACAACATGTCCACTGGACACCTGAGCAATGGAGGGCTATTCTCTTTACGGATGAGTCCAGGTTTAGTCTAGAACGCGATATTTGATATGAAGAGAACCTGGAACCCGTTATCATCTCAAGTATCCATGAAAGAGATGCATACGGAAGAAGCAGTGTCTGTGTTTGGGGTGGCATCTCTTTGAGTGGACGCACAGACCTCCATGTTTTTCCAAGGGGAACCGTGAATGCTAATGTTTATAGAGATGACATCCTTGATGCTTATGTGTGCCCATGTGCCAGGGCAATAGGTGATGCTTTCCTGTTACAGGACAATAATGCAAGACCACACAGGCCTCGCATCGTAGATGATTATCTTCAACAGGAAACAATTATGCACATGGAGTGGCCAGCTCGATCCCCGGACTTGAATCCTATCGAGCATGTTTGGAATGCTTTAGAGAGACGTCTAGCTGTTCTCAATCCACCCCCTCAGACCCTTGCCGCTTGCAACTGCTTTGCAATAGCAGTGGCTCTCGCTTTCTATGGAACTGATAGACCGCATAATTGAAAGCATCACGCGTCACTGTATTGCTTCTAGAGGCGACCATATTCCATATTGAAGGTACTTTTCCTATAGCAAACTGACACCTTCGATTTGTTCATTTTATAAATGTGCTAATTTCTATACTACCATAATTGTCTGGTAATTTATTTTTTATGCTATTTGGTACCTTACTATATGTTGTATATTGTGGGTAAGTTTCATAAAATTCTACATGTAACTTTTTCAGTAATTGCGATTTTTCCTTAATTTATGATAACCAGTGTATTTAAGGGATAACAGATTTAACATTGAGGATATACCAATATGACCAAATTCTATATGAGCTTCTTCAAGTAGTTTAGTACAAAGCGATATGGATATTACAATTTTATGCAAGGCAGCGACCAAGCAGTAAAATTGCTTAACACTTGTTGTTTATTCCAGGTTGAACGGGCTGGTTGCATGGGTGTTTTTGTATTTTTGCACATATGTAGCATGTATACGAATCAGTTCCCCTCAGAAAGTCATCCATAAAGGCGTCCTTCCCTTTAGGCAGATAGCACTACTATGCTTTACCATAATCAAGTAAAACAAACCAAACAATTTTATACAATCCTTGTCTCTTTTTTTTATTAATATATTAGTAATATTCTTATACTTAGGGTTACAAACATTATCTTAATTTTGATGATCTCTAAGTCGGCAAGGCAATTTCTGTTTAAAGAGGAGAATTTGTAAGATAAAAATATGAAACTCAGAATTACTAACTTTAATTTTACTACGTCCCCTTTCTGGAATCTAAATAACATCACTTTAAAAACTGGCTCGCATTATGTCATCTGTAATATCGTAAAGCTCATGTCCAACAGCAGCCCAAAATTTGAACAAAGGATTTAAATGTTATGAATAGCCCTTTGCTTAAATGTGCAGTCACTTTTCTACTTGCTCTTGCCCTGCTAATGCATATCTTATTGTTCATTGTACCATGTATTGTCTCAAAATGTAATAAGTTGTACTGGTGCTTGTTGCACCCATAGTGATGTATAAACCAAGAATATGTGTTTAGATGAGTGCCAAAATTTTGAGTATACAAATGAATCTTCTTAAATTATATGGAAAATGAAATTATTTAAATTAGAAATATAAGAGCTAATTTCTGAATAAAATATTGATAAAATTAAATTAAGATAAAATGTTATTTTCCATTTCTTTTGGCTTTTTTTTTTCCCCATGGTATTTTTCTCTCTGGAAGAAACTTGCCAACTCTGATTTTAAAACACTTATTTTAGCCTGCCTACATTGCATTTGCTTGAATTTAAATGAGACCAGCCAAGGTCCTAATTCTGAAGAAGAAAAAAACTAATACAGTCAAAAGTCTTTAATCCGGATGTCCATAATCCGGAATGATCTATAATCCGGACCTCAAAGCTACAAACTTTGAGCATGCGTAAACGCATAATACCTTTACACATGCGCATAATACATTTACGCATGCACGTTTAATGTATAACGGATGGTATAAGCCAAGCTAAAATTATCTAATTATCTATTTCAGTTAATGTTGATGATAGCGTTGTTCCTTAATCTTCTAATTGGATACGGCTTATTATTTTTTGCAGACTGTTAGAGCAATTTTATTAAAGTAAGCTTGAACTTTCGATTATGTCAAAAAGAATTTTCGATTCTGGAGCTGCCAAGGGTCTACTACAAAGCGGAAAGCATGTTTCGATGTCCATCAAACAAAGAAGTGGAATTGCTGCAAAAAATGGATAAAAGGCATATCCTTTGTTTCTCTAACAATTCCGAAATCTGTTTATCAATTTCACGCTGCTCTGTGTGTGTGTGGGGCGGGACGCGATGAACTGGAAGTTGATCTGTCAACACTATCCTTATCTTCAGGGCAGATGTTTTTATTTTATTCGGCTTATAATTCCTTACTAAATGTAGTATTTCATCTCGCTGTACTCTGTCTTTGATATGATGTTAAATCAAATTCCTCGTCGTTATAAATATCTATACCAGAATAGTTTTCTGGTTGCAATTTTCTAATTTCGACTATGTGTAATGTATGCTTAACGCATGCATGCGTTGAAAGAAATGTTTAATAAAGTAAACAAATAAATATTAAGCTTTTTTATTGTAAATTTTGATACCCTTTAGATCATAATTGCTCTTTATTTCATAAATTATGGTTTCATACTTTTAATTTTGTAATTTCTGCATGCCATTTTACCAGATTTAAACTGATGATCTATAATCCGGAAAAACTGATAATCTGGAATCACTGGAGTCCCGACGAGTCCGGATTAAATACTTTTGACTGTACAAGTATGATTATGACATCAAGATATGTGTTTCTTGTATAAGGTGTGTCCCTATAGTAGCTGAAGAAATTAAAAAGCTAAATGATAACATTAAAAAGTGAAGGAATAAATGTATGTTTAGAAATAATGACATCTCTTATTCGAGCCAGTTTAAATTAGTTATTTTATCATTTGCATATCAAAATGCCAGTCATTTTCATTTTCTGGCATCATACAAGAAAATTTACTCTGAGAAGAAGTACCATTATAACATTATTAAATTTTTGTATAAATTAAATAAATCTGCGACCAAAACATTATAGATGATTCAAATAGTATGTGATGATGCAATTATCAAGAATACAAGTGTATGGGTATGAGTATGTATGAGTGGTACAAGTGCATTAAATTTGAGTGTGAAAGCACTGAAGATGAATCAAAGATATATTCCTTCAACTTCATGTGTTCCATGTATTTTGGAAATGGTTTGTTCCAACGTTTATGAACAAGTGTTTTAATGACCTGAAGAAATGTTGGAAAAATTATGTAGACTTTTCTGGCAATTATCATGAAAGGGGTATATTTATTTATGTTCAGTAATCTTTATCTTATTTACAAGAAATTGCCATGTTACTTTATAGGCACATCTTGTATAAATTAACAAATGCAAAGAATAAGTGGCTTGCAAGTTAGAGACAAATTTAACAAAGGTTTTGCATGAGCTTCTTACATCTTACCTCTGATTATAGCCTCACCAGTTGTAGTTATAAAATACGATACAATTGACTAAAGACATTCTATTTTCATCTGTAATGCTGCAATTAGAGAATTTTTATATAGTTCATTGTGTGAGAGTGAATCTTTGAATAGAATGCTTTATAACTGAGGAGCTGCCCTATCTCTTATCTGTTGCTTTAAAATAGGCACTTCAAGGTTATTCTTTTCTTCTGGGTTACCTTGTAACCATAGTAGCAATTGCTGCAGAAAATTATTGAGTCCTCTAATTTTCTAAAATGTTCTAATCACTGCAGTGTTGTGTTGTGGTGACGAAGGCACATCATGTGATTGTAAATGAGAGGAAAGTCATTATAGTGTCAAAGTGGCTGTTTTAAAATAACAGATATACAGATAACGTTATACAGAATGTTTGACATTAATTGCTTGCAGAAGGTAAGCAAAGTCATTATATATTTGAAAAAAATTGTAGTAGTTTCAGCCTCCTCTATTATGTTAGTAAAACTTCTTATCCATCTACAGAGGAATACAAAAGTGTTTTTTTTTTTTTTTTTTTTTCCTTTTTTTTATAAAGAATGCTCATATTTTAGTTTTTATTATAGAAAAATTATATCATGTATTAAGTTAGTTAATTTCTCTGTCATCTTTTGTTTTTTTTCTCCCCACTTTAGGCTTCCCAATGGATACCAGCAAAACGAGAAGTATCAAATCTCTTTTGTTGCAGGCATGGAGAGAAAGATGGTCAGATGTTACATGGGGAATTCGTATCAAAAGTGTACTACCACGAGGTGTCAGTGGTGATGTTTATGATTTAGCTGACTGCATCCTTCAGCAAGCTTTAGTTGGACCTGGACCTAATAATTTGTTTATGTCTTATCTGATGCATTCCCTGAGTTCACGTGTTGTGTCATATGGAGCTGTCCTATCCAGTATTGGAAGATATCAAAGTTTTTACAAACCCTATTGTATATTAAGTCTTCTGGATCTGCTAAAAACTTTTCAATCTAGAATTGGATGCCATGGGAATGAAGAAGAATGCATAGCACTATGTAAAGCTGTTGTTAGTGTAACCCATTGGCTATATTCTTGTGTATTTCATTCAATCACAAAGTTAGCTGAGCTTAAACAAAGCCCAGAACATATATCTATAATGGAAAAGTCATATGAAGCTCTTTTTTACTTCAGTAATTCTAATTTCATCAAATCCTTGTTGTTTGTTGGAAAATTTGAAGACCAGGGTATGTATGCACAAATGTTGCAGAAGCATAGGGAACTTGAAAATAAAATAACTCAAGTTACAAGCAATACAAATGTGACTAAAGAAACTATTGAAGGTGCTCTTAGTTTGGTTAGCTCTGTTGATAGTTTGCCTATGGTTCCATATGAACGAATTCCAAAAAGTAATGAAAGACTCCAAATATTAGCCAGTACTTTGAATATAATGGTAGGCATTGATGCTATTCTAAATCCTGCTAGTGATGTGACAGCATTTGTAAATCAGTTACTTCTGGTGAAGAAACTCCAGAGCTTTAAATTGTCTCAGCTTTATTGTGAAATTATTCGAGCTTGCTTTATTGGCATAATTGATGCTTCTGGTTCTTCGGAAGATCTAAAATGGTTTGCTTTTAGCTTTCTTAAGGTTCCACATTTGATTTCTAAAATTCATTCCATTCAAACAGAGAATGAAGAAGATGCTTTGGAAAAAGGGTTAGATATATTATTACAGTACTCACCTTTGCTTGATTTGACTGATCTGAAAAGTAATTGTGATTGTCTTCAGTATTTAACAAATGAATTTTGTAAAGTTGGGATGCTAACTGAAGCTCAAATGCGTAAATTAGTTACTCGTAGGCAAAGTGAAACTTTTAAACATTCAGCTCCTAAACAAAACCAGCAAGGTGGACAGGCCAATGCAACATTCATTTTAAGAGCTGAAACTACTGTTATTAGCATTTTGAGATCATTAGATTCAGATTATTCCAGAATTCAAGATAAACTTTTAGGAGTTTTATGCCACATGGTTACTGGAAAGAATTTTGAACTGATTCTTTCAGCAGCAGCTGCAACAGGAAAATTGCACACTTTCACTGCAAAACTCATTCATTTTAATGATTACAATCAAGTGGTAACTGCAGAGACAGTAAAAGCATCCCAAATTAGAGCTCTCTTATTTGACGTTACATTCCTTCTGTTATGTCACATAACTCAGTATTATGGAATTGAAATAGTAACTGGAATTCCAGATAAAAAGGATTCTTTTTTTGTGCAGTGGGCATCTGAATGCTTAGCTGAAGGTGGAAAATTTAAGTGTCCAGAATTATTATTATCCAGATGTGATATGGGCAGTGTTGATGCTCTTCTATCTCAGTTTCTGAACACTGAACAAGAAATTAAGACACATCAAGTAAAATGGCATGAGGTATGTATTAATGCCCCTTCTGCTGCGAGGGAAATTCTCGTTGCATGGGAACATGGTGCATTATCTACTGAAAAGGTGAAGGTAATTTTGGATCATATTAAGGGGCAGATGTGTTTCTTACCTGTTTGTATATCTGCTTGGCTTTGCAATTATATAAACGTACTTCATCATGAGGAGCGTCTGAAACCCATGAATATGCTTCAGCAATTTATGGCACCTCTTCTCTTAGAGTCTACTTCATCTCCAGCAGAGTCACCTTCTGGTAGTGGTCGTCAGACACCACAGATGCCAGGAAATGATCAGAGTAACTTGTATTATACAGAACGATCTACTTTGATGGTAGGCATTATTAACAAAATGTTGTATGACCTTCATCCTCCACCTCAAGCAAAATTCAAATTAGCTCCACTCATACCTCATGGATTAACTATACGAGCTCCATTAGGAAATATCCTTGATGAAGTGTTTACTGGAGTTCATTTTAGAGGATGGTTAGATTTGAAATCTATTCATTATTTTGACACTTTATTATGTGTTGGTGGAGCTCGTTGGTTATGCGAGGTTCTTGTGCGCCGAATACTTAGTTATCAGTTTTCAAAGGATATAAACAAAGCAGTTGACATGGTTTTAGGTATCTTCTATCTGGATATTGAACAGTGTGCACTAGCTCTTTTATTGCATGTTCTCCCTTTTTATTTATATAGTGATGCTCATCAAGAGCAGTTGGCTGAACCATATGGTACCGCCCTTTCCCGTTTGACAGTGATAACAACTTATGCTGCTTTACAGTCAAGACAGTGTTCTTCTGTGACAGGAAGCAAGAGTGGATGCAAGAGAAGTCACAGGGAAGTTGACATTGATGATTCTAGAGATCCTAGTGAACACAGTCGACCAAGCAAAATACATAGGAGCAATGCAGAGCTTCTAGAGGATACACCTTTCGAATTACAATCACTAAGTGATGATCATTTGCGCAATGCAGTTGCAAATCCTATAAATAAAGCCATTGCAGATTTGATGAGAACTTTGCTAGTAATTGCATCTGATGCCACAATTAGTGCAAGATCGCATTTCCCAATTCGATTTCTTGAACAGGTTGTATTGTGTGCCAAGGATCAAGCTTCTGCTATGTTGCAGTTTATGCCTTTAGGTCTTGTTGGCTTGTTATTAAAAAAATTCCCTGAAGAATTTAATCATGAATTAATACTTGCTGTAAGTAGTATGCAAAGTCCTAGAGCTCGTAAGGTAGCGGCATTAAGTCTCTGTCAGCTTACCATTGCACAAAATAGACTTACAAGTAAAAATCAGTGCTGGCTTGGATTTTAATATGTGTATCTGTGATGTAAATTTTTATATGAGTGTAAAAATATTTTTGTATGATATTCCTTAGGAAGGAAACAATGTAGCATTATCTCCTAATTTTATTTCATCGTAGAAAACCTTTCAGATTTACTAGCAGAATATTCTAAAAATAATTGAAATGCCATGAAACCTTAGTTCACAAACATCTGAAATGCTCATAAACTGAGACAAATGTTCTCATAGAAATTAATGCAAGATGAATTAATTTGTTCTCGCATTCCAAATGTTTGCTTAGAAAAGAGTGTATGTAAGTTTATCTTGAAAAACCAATGGAATTCGTTAAATTTTAAACATACACAATAATAACATATATGCAGTGTTTATTACAATACTAAAGCTATAAAAAAATAGGAAAACTTGAATTAAATTTTACTGTTTATCTTCGAAAGAAAGTTGACAGGGTAAGTAGAAAGCGGTGAAGAAACCAAAGATTAAGATGTTATTGTTTAAGAATGAAGTTGTATTTCATTAAAATATTAGGTAGTTGCTGTCTTTCTGGAGAAATTTTTTCTTTTGCTTTTCTCTTAACACCTCTATTTGGGAATTACTGAGCCTTTCCCTTTTCAAAATTTTTTCACTTTCGGTTGTTTCTGTCTGTGTTTTAAAAAGTTCTCAAGGAAGACATGGCATTGTTATTGTAAATATTTTTCTAAAGTTTACTAAAACTTTTAACTTCTAAAGTTATTTATTCTAAAGTTATCAGGGTGATAATGTTCTATAAACTTTGCACCTGACCCATTTACCATGAATTTTGTAATCATATAACCAAGGCTATTTATCTCCTTTCCATGTTCTTCTTCTAATGACATTTCCTCCAGTGAATTAACTGGATTTGAGTATTATTTGTGGCTGACTTACTTGTTTGTATCTCAAGACACTGTTCATCATCCAGGACATTTTTCATTTAGAAAATTTGTTCATGATTCAAGGCATCTATGAACCAAGATTTCACTGTATTTACATTTATATGTTAACTTTATAAAACAGCAGTTTTAAAGCATTTTAAGTCAGAATTCTTTTTAAACTCAAAAAGTTGCATGAAAACTGTAAATGAAAAAAATTTAGTTTTAATTTTCAAAATGCATTAGATAAATTATTTGCAAAATTCTAAGTACAAAGAATACCCACCCCCTCTCTATTTTATGTTTTTCTTCTCTCTGTTTTTAGGGGGAGGATTATTTTTTCCATATAAATGTAGAGTCATTAGGATGTTTTTTTTTAGAGGCCAGCAAAATGAAAAATTAGCAAACGCCTTCGCCGGGAATCAAACCACAGACCTCTGAAATACCGGCTCAGTGTGCAGAACCACTACACCACGAAGGACACTAGGAAAGTGGGAGAAATACCTTATATACTCCCCTTTTTAAAGGGCGAGTAGGGTTTTAGGGGACCTAGTCGCCAAATCCTGGGTGCGGAGAATCATCATCCAGAACCCTTTTAGTTCGGGCGCCACTTGTAGAGTCATTAGGATTTTTTTTTTAGAGGCCAGCAAGATGAAAAATTAGCAAACGCCTTCGCCGGAAATGGAACCACGGACCTCTGAAATACCGGCTCAGTGTGCAGAACCACTACACCATGAAGGACACTAGGAAAGTAGGAGAAATACCTTATATAAAAATTATTATTTTTTCTGTATAGAATTTTTTTAACTTGTTTCAATTTTGAAAAACTGATTCTGAATGTGACAGATGGCATTTTATTTATATACTTTCCTTAATTTATTTTGTTATTCGTGTTGCTAAAAATGTCAAGATTTTTTTAAAACTTTGTATTGATTTCACTGTCTTACATGGTGCTCCTAAATGTGTACAAATTTTAGAATGGGCTTATTTGAAGTTGAGTGAGAATTTAAAATGAGTGTGAATCTAGGATGATTTGTTTAGTTTTATTGGTTGAGTCAAACCACATACCTAAAAGCAAACTGAATAAAATTGGAAAAAAAAAAAAAAAGTTATAGTAATTTATTTATATTTAAATATGGTTATTGTCATTAAACTTTTAAAGCCCTTTTTACCTGGTCTTTTAGTTCTGTGGAAATACTTGAGAAAGACTGCCATAAAGCATTATTTCATAATTAAATTTTAATTATTTATTTAATTATTTATTCTCTTCCATATTATAACAGAATCTTAAGTCTATCGTGTAAAAAAAAAAAAAAAAAAAAAAAAAACATTTTTAAAATGATTTTCTCTAATTTCCTTATGATATCCATAGATTTTGCAATAAATATCAGATAAAAATTATATGTTTATTATATGTTATAAAGTCTAATTTAAAGTTTTGCTTTAGTCTTAATATCTTCTAAACCTCTGTCAGGTACAAATGATCTACTTGATGCTTCTGGAAAATTTTAGCTAATAATGTAAAAACTATATAGCACAGCATCTCTAAATCTCCAGTTGCTTCATATTCTTTGTGCATAAACCAGCAGATAATTTCATTATGAGTTGTAAAAATAATTATCAAGCAAATATTCTGTGACCAGTTTATTACACTGCACTTATTCAAATTCCATATCGCGATTTTGGAATATTGAAAGTCTTTTGAACTGAAGTAAGTTATTTAAACTTATGTAATTATTTTAGATATGTTTAAGTTGTTTTAGATTAAAAAAAATTTTTTTTTTATTTTTTAATTCATGCTTACAATTCTAATAAAAAATGAAGTGTTTCTCTTTAACTGTGGTATGAAAATGAATTTTAGATATTATTTATTTTTTATATTATATTATGTTAATTAGCAATGACTTATGACTGATCATAATAAATATTTTGATTTTGAACAACCCGAGGCATACTGAGAATATTATAAAAATAAAACTATTGAAAGATAATGATTATTTACACAAGTGAGATGAGAGTGATTGAGTTGAAATGTATGGGATAAAATCAGATTCTTAGGGAAGAAAAAAAAAAAAAAAAAAAGGCACCACCTCACAAGATGACTAATTTATTTGAAAAAAATAATTTTTCATTGGAATAGAATTAGAAACTAGCAGAACTAAATGCTACTTCTTTCAGTCTAAATTAATATGAAAGTTACAGGCATTATTAATTAGGTATAATGAAATCTGCACTATGTCCATTGCAATACAGTGTAAAATCCAGACCTCTGGACTGCTAGGAACCTTTTTTTAAGACTATTTTTATATGCTTTACCAGTGTGCATTTGGTATTTTTTCATAGTAAAGCATGGCCCACTAGTGGCTGAGCAGTAAAATCACTGAACATGGGTAATTTGGTTCCAGGTTCCAATCCCACGAATGAATGAGCTGATTGATCATTGATTTTATACATACTGAATAGTGTATATCTCTGATGCCAACCTAGTGAGCTATTATTTATTATTTTTTGCTTTGATCACCACATAACTTTCAACAGATGGCAGCTTGAGAAAGGATTCATGCAGAGATGTCTTGACATTAAAAAAAAATATATTAGTAATGGAATACCAAAGAACATGGCAACTTTTTATATTGACATTATGCCTGGCGCTTATTACATACTTCATCATACTGCAAAATGTTGAATGTATTGATGAAAAGAAATTAAACTGTTTCCCCTATGGAAAAAAAAAAAAAAGGAATTTGTAAATTATACTCATAGGCTAAAAAATCACATTTAGGGTATTTTGAAGTGAGATTAACTTATTTATTATCCAGATAAGTCCAGGACCATTGCCAGAGCTGGAGTGATTACACAGGGTGGCAGAATTTAGGAGAGGCTAAATTTTTAGAATGTTTAAAGAAGCAATGAGAACAAAATTAAGGGATGGCAAAATCTTTAGAATTTAAGGAAGGGAATGGGTTACAAAATTTTTAGAATTTAGAGAAGTGTTTGTCAGCAGGTTTAGACCTCCCCCGAGTCTGCACCAGGCCACAAAATGTCTAGTGGTGATCTTGGATAAGTCTTAAAGCATATTTGAAGAATAGGCATAAGTAAAATAAATAATTGAAGTGATTTAATTCTGTCTTAACTTCATCAGTGTGAGATAGATAAAAATTAACGGAACAACATGTCTTTAGTCGCAAGTCTCATGACACATCGCCAGTAGTATATAACAGATGTTAGCTGAGTTTTATGATGGTAGCCACGAATTTGAAGGTTTTCAGATATTGCAAACAAATGCTAATAAACTTCCCAAGTAATGGAATTTGTGGAGTGGTAATAAAAGATGATGATGATGTAACAAAAGATTCCCCATTGCAATGACAATGCCTCATTCATCCATCAACTAATGAGTGTTAAATTCTGCAGTATGGAGAGGTTATTGAGAACGAAAAACTTTTGATTGACAATTTAGTGGGAATTTTCAACATTGCAAATACAAGATTTGAACAGTGCAACTTTGTAACTGAACAAGAAATTATGTCTATCTGTAAAATTAAGGAGAGAGTATTAGCCCAAAAAGTTAAGCAACTTAAACTAAACAACATACATTGAAAGAAATGTTTAATAAGGGAAACAAACAAATATTGAAATTTTTTTTTCATGTGAAGTATGATTCCCTTAAAGTCATAAATGCTTCGTTATTTCATAAATCACTATTTCATATTTTTAATTTAATAATTTCTGCATGTCATTTTACTAGATTTAAACTGATGACCTAATACCTGAAAAAACAAATTCCAAATCTAGAATCGCTAAAGTCCCAATGAGTCTGTTTGTACTACATTAGATTTTCCTTAAAAATGGTGAAATTTTAAATGTCTCTCTTTTAATGTTTTATATCTATACTAATATATTGGTACTATAAAATCAACCTTTGAGCTTGAGAGAAATTTAATTTTATGGTGTTAAAAGTATTTACAATCTGATGTTTTTAATTAATTTTGATAAAGGAGATGGACAAAGTTTAGAAGGTGGGTGAGATCACAAAGAGATGGCAAAAAAAAATTCAGCTTGTAATAAGTATTCAGGAATTAAGGTTTTATAGTGCTTTGATTGAGGTTTTATTGTCGAGCAACATAAAATAAAAACTGGACATTGGAATTTGCAGAATGAAAACTGTGCACATCTCCTTCCCCCAGTATACTATGATAATTCATCATATTTAAGTGTGTAGTGTTTTTTGAAGAGTATTTGTGACACAGTTTGTATTTGAATTCCAGGAATATATGAATTTGTATGCTATATTAACATTTCTATGAAGTTGTTGTTATTTTTCTTTAAGTTTAGATTTAAGAATTCAAATACTAAAACTATCTTATGTATACTTGGAATAACTGTCATTTAAAGATCTTAAAAATTATGTGCAAAAGCATAATTTAAGAAATTATAAAATAATATAAATTTTGCAATTTTTTTAAATGTTTGTTTCAGACCTATAACTGTTATGAAAAAAATTATTCAAAGCAGATTGTATTGTGTAAATTTAATACTTATAACTATTCCATTTCCGACCATTTTTGCAATGTATCTATTATTGTCTTACATTTGTTAATGTGTCTTTGTGGTAGTGCAAATGGTAGTTTACTAATATGCTATAATTTCTGCTTTTCAGTTCAAGAACTAAAGGAAAAAATTTGAACGTAAACATTTTTAATATGAATATTAAACGTGTTTTTTAATACTGTTGCATGTTATTTGATGGGCACAATAGCAATTAACGAGTATTTTCAAAATATTCATTCGAAATTTTATTTTTGCTCTTTACGTGAAAAAGTAACCGTATATCTAACTTCAATACCAGATTGACTGCTGAAATTAGTATTTGTGCATTTTGAAATTAGATAAGAATGAAACAGTATCAAACTCAATAAAAACTAGTTGATAACACTGGACAACAAATTTGAACTTTTTTTGGTATCCTTGATATAAAATGCATTTGGCTAAATCGCAGAATAGGCTGCATCAGTCGATGCTGTGTTTACTTCTCTTATGCTTTACACGCCTTTTTATGACGTAATATTGGTTACGCCTCTTCTTCAAAACAAGTATGCTATAGCTTCGTATTTAAAGAAAACTTATATTATATTTTAACTGAGTTGAAATGGTAGGTTTATAATGTTCTGTGCGAGATTTTTTAAATTGTAAATCTACTTTTGTGTGTTGTGTGGTATTGTTAGCATTTAACGCAACGAATTATCTCTCACAAATGTATTATTAAGATACCAAACGATTGAAAACGATCATTAGCAAACGATTGAAAATATTGAATGCATGAATTAAAAATTATAACTGTAACTTCTGAAAATACAGAAAAGAATTCTTTTTGCTTAAAGAATGTTTTTTGATTATTCATGAGTGTGTTTAATTCTCGGTGCTTACTGCAGAATGGATGAGTATTTGAATCTGG